TTCACGCAGAACAACAACATAACGAGTATTCTGCTAAGGTGAAGAAAGATATCACTTTAGGTGAACCCTCTGATTTCCAGTTGACAGAGAATGACGTACCCCGATACAGGAACCGGTTATATGTCCCAGATACTGATAAAATTCGTGAAGATGTGATGGCTGAAGCGCATTTGACACCTTATTTTGTACATCCTTGAGCCACTAAAATGTATAGGGACTTGAAATTGCATTATTGGTGGCCAGGTATGAAAAAGGACATTGTCGGATATGTAGAACAATGTTTGACTTGTCAGCAGATCAAAGCAGAACATCAGAGACCAGTAGGAACTTTACAGCCCTTGTTTATTCCACAGTGGAAATGGGAGAGTATTACAATGGATTTTCTTACAGGGTTTTCCAAGACATTCAATGGTTATGATGCAGTCTGGGTAATTGTTGATAGATTGACTAAATCAGCTCATTTTCTACCGATCTGCACTACATATTCTATGGAGCGTTAAGCCCGGATATATATACAAGAAATTGTTAGACTTCACGGTGTACCCCTCACTATCATTTCAGACAGAGACTCCAGATTTTTATCTAATTTCTGGAGGAGTTTGCATAAAGCATTAGGGATTAAGTTATCTTTCAGCAGTGCATACCATCCACAAACAGATGGACAGTCCGAGAGAACGATACAAATTCTGGAAGATATGCTCAGAGCTTGTGTGTTAGATTTCCAAGGTCAGTGGAGCAAATTCTTGTCTTTCATTGAGTTTTCTTACAATAACAGTTATCAGTCTACTATCGCAATGGCACCATATGAAGCACTGTATGGTATAAAGTGTCGATCTCCAGTACATTGGGATGAAGTTGGGGAACGAAAACTTTTGGGTCCATATTTGATTCGACAAATGAGTGAAACTGTAGTGCAAATTCGGGAAAGAATGAAAGCTGCTCAAAGCCGAAAAAAAAAGTTATGCTAATAAAAGAAGAAAAAAGTTAGAGTTTGAAGTGGATGATCAGGTATTTCTAAAAGTTTCTCCAATGAAAGGGGTAATGCGGTTTGGAAAGAAAGGAAAGCTTAGTCCAAGATACGTAGGTCCATTCTCCATTACTGAAAGAATTGGTGAAGTCGCCTACATATTTGATTTGCCTACATCCATGTCTCAAATAGACAATGTGTTTCATGTACCAGCATTAAGGAAGTACATAGCAGATCCATCACATGTTTTGAAAAGTGAACCTATAAAGCTAAAATCAAATTTGAATTATGAAGAAGTCTAGTAGAAATTCTTATGAGAGAAGTGAAACAACTTAGAAATAAATACATTTCATTAGTCAAAATACTATGGAGAAATCAGTCAATAAAAGAAGCTACTTGGGAAAGAGAAGATGAAATGAGATCTAAGTACCCAGAACTCTTCAGGTAAGTTAAATTTCGAGGACGAAATTTTTATAAGGAATGGAGGATGTGATGCCCAAGTTTCTCACTACTCATTGGTCAATATATATTTCATATTTTAAGTGCTAGTAAATTACTAGATGTTAATTTGTGGTAGTTTAAATATACTTCATGAGTTGCATACATTAGTTTACTTGAGTATTAATTGTTTAATTATATGTTCTGTTTATATTACTTATGTGTTAATTTATAATTAGTTGAGTATAATTCATACTTTGAGTGCACTTTATATTATTTATATGTCACTAGTGATGTTAGGTTATTTATTTTACTATTGAATGTTAAATTGTTTATAATTTGGTATATGTCTTACCTGTTTATTAATAAGAAAATATTATCATAATTTATCTGAGATTCTAGTATGATACAAATAAGTTGGATAAATTATTTGGATATTAGTGGTGTAAGTTAAATATAAATTACTTGAAAATTTATTGTAGTAATTAAATAAAAAATAAAATAAATAGAATAATAAAATAAATAAATAAAATAATAGTAATAATAATAATAATAAATATAAATAATAATAATAATAATAATAATAATAATAATAAAGAAATTTAAGGCGGTGGGGCGGGGTAATAATCCCCACCCCCCACCTCAATTATCATATCAATTTCAGAAGATAAGGAGAAAGGCAGAAGGCAACGTGAAGAAGAAAAAAAAATTACGCCGAATCCGTTATCAATTTCAGAAGATAAGGAGAAAGGCAGAAGGCAACGTGAAGAAGAAAAAAAAATTACGCCGAATCCGTTAAAAGTCTAGTTTAGGTATTTTTGTGTTCACGAATTATTACTATTTTTTACTAAGTATATGAAGTTTTGAATAGAAATAATTATTTAGTAAATTGGGGTAATATTTATAATTAATTGTTGTTAGATACGATACTGGAATCGTGAAAAAGGCTTTAAGAGTTAGGGTTATTGACGTTTTTGGCGAATTTCAGGTGAGTAGAAATTCATTTGCAACTACAATGCATAAATATATTCTTTTGTGAGTTATTTATATTTGATTGATAATATGTGAATATCAGAAACCTGTAATATGTGATTAATATTCTCTGATTTTGTGGTTTGAGCCTGCGAGCTCCGTAAATAAATTGGTTTCAGCCTGTGAGCTCTGTATGTGATATGGTTGAGCCTGTGAGCTCTGTATGTGATATAGTTGAGCCTGTGAACTCTATATTTGATGTTGAAGGAGTCTGTGAGCTCCAAAATTAATGTGGTTTGAACCAATGAGTTCAATAATATCTGTATATTGTGAAATATGTTGCATTGCATTTTCATTAAGCATGCATATCATACATTGAAATGAAATAAAATGGTTTTACTATGCTAGACCGCTGATTATACACCGAGGGCGAGAGAGGCGACCTAGGAAGAAGGGACCTGGGGAAACCTGGTGTAGGCTACCTGGTGTAGGCCACCGTCTATTGTGACTTTACATACAATGCATAAACAATGCATTCGGAAGAGGCAACCTGGGAAGAAGTGACCTGGGGAAACCTTGCGAGAAAACCCGGTGTAGGCTACCTGGTGTAGGCCACCGTTTGATTTGAATATGTAGATGTTGAACTCTTTCCGGTGTATAGCAATGTATCTAGGGGCCCTGGAGAGTATTTCATAAATAAATTGGTGATTTCAAACGAGAGCACATTCTGCATATTGAGAATTTTGAGATAAACTTCACATCGTGCATAATTTCTACTTACGAAGATTTATAAATCTCACTCAGTTTATGCATTGTAGGTAATCCTGATGATATATGACTTGATGGTCAGACTGGAGTAGCCGTGGCGCTCTTACAGGTATTTTGAGTTCCGTGTACATAGATGACGACCTGCGGGCAAGATCGTGGCTTGTTTTGCTCCCGTTGTTCAATATCACGTTTGTTTTAGAAATTGCATGGTGTTTTTATAAATAGTATGTCGATTGTGTAGTTTTTGATATGGTTTGAGCTCCTTTTGGTGAATGTTAACATGTTACTGTTGAATTATGTTATGTTTTGCTGAAAATATATATATATATAGCAGGTTAACAGGTTGTTATATATGTAAGTAATTAAGAGGGATTATAGCATGTTTATCGTTTACTTATATGTTGAATTGGTGTTAATAGTATAATGTAAGTGTGGTCGTGTCACCGCTGCCTTCATCCTCCGACCGAACCAAACCAGACCGCTCCAGCCGTTGTTCATCTCTTCTCCTTTCTCCAGCCAGCACAGCCCACCATGTCAACTCCTGCTCGCCTAAACACCAATCTGGAAATTTGGTAATATCTCTCCACCTTTCTGTTGCTTTTAATTTTGATATGCTTTGCATAAATTTCATCGATATGATATTCTGCAATGGAAGTTGAAGTGGTTTTTTGGTTGATTATTTGCTTCAATTATTGGGATAAATTGGCTTGGCTCACTGCAATAGGTGTTCTGGACTTGAAAGTGAAATCAAATTTTATGATGCCAAGAGAATTTTCTGTGAGTTTTTGGGTGCAATGATTGCAGATTGTGATTGTTATACATTTGGTTTTGATTGATCATAGGAAAAAACATGCAGAAATGTGCATCCATGCTTTGTTAAAGCTTTTTTTATAATACCAAAATTAGTCAATGAATATATTGCTTGTGAAAATACGTATTGTAATTTAGATATTTTTTTATGGGAAAAATATTTTGGGTGTAATGTTGCTTTTAAAAATATGTTGGATGAGATATATGCAATGAAATATGGGTTTTGAATCTTATGTTTCAAATAAAATATATTTGTTCAATGCCAGTGTCTTTTGGGGAAAATATTTTAGGATTTGTTCTTGGAAGTGTTTTTTTTTTTTTTTTTTGGGTATTATTATTATTATTATTACTATTATTATTATTATTATTTCATGTTTTCGTCTGTTTTGGGTGTGAATTTTTTGAATGAAAATTATATGCTGCATGTAATATTGTAAAAAATAAAGTGATTGAAGTGATGTTTTTAGTGAAAATTTATTATTTTGTGTAGGTTTATTCGTATCTTCTTTCATCTTATTTGTTTTTTATAAGATACTTTTGTTATTATTATTATTTTAGGCTGTGGTTTTTACTAGCACTTTGACCAAGTTTGAAAATGCTCTTAGTAGAGATGGTAATAATAATCTATTTCCCATGAAATAAATACATATAAATAAATAAATCACTAACAGAAAATGACACTTCCATTGAGGAATTATTATATATCATTTACATTCGAAATGATCATTTTTATTTTTATTTATTTATTGAATTCATTCTTTGATATTTTATTATTTCGTGTTGGATTTTATAGTTCAATGGATCCACCCCATTTAATAAGACATAAACACACCCATTATCGCAGCCCATGAAAATCAGGCCCAAACCCGCGACCCTTGGGCTGACCTGTGCCCTCGACCAGCACCCGCGACCCACAACCCACTAAGGATCCGCGTCTTTCTTAGATGCTGCGCTGACCATCCGATTTGGGGTTTTCATCTTGATCGTTGGATCTCTTTTGACCTAGGTATATATATGGAGGATGAGAGAGAAACCGTCTAATATACACATTCTCTTCCTCTCTCTACAGTAACGTCTCTCCCTAGCCTCTCTCATCCTCTCCCTCAACCCCTTCTCTAGCGACGGTTTGCGACGGTTCACGGCGGTGCTTTCCTCCTATAATCTTGTGGAGCTCCTTAGCACATTCGGTTTTCCCCTGTTTTGGTTGTTTCGAGTTGCAAAGGGCTCGTTCAACCTCGAAGGCGCTCGTTCGACTTGTTTTCTGCTTTGTGGGGAACTCCTTTTGTTTGTCGTGGGTTGTTAGGGTAGATTTTTGTGTGTTCGTCGCATTTTGGGTCTGTGTTTGTGTCGATTTTGTGATTCCGAGTTTGGTTTGAGGTTGAGCCTTCAAAAACCAAATCTAGTTCAATATTTTTACTCGATTTCATTAATAAAATCTTTCTTTCCGTTCATATTTTTAATAACAAGTGGTATCAGAGCTTTTTGGTATATTTTTGCTTTCAAAATTGAGTATTCTTTTTCTTTTGAGGTTTTTTGGTTGAATATATTTAGATCTACAAAAGGATCTGGTTGAATCGAACTATTTTAAGTGTTTTTTATTCTTTTCCTTATAGATCTATCTAATATTGGTTGTAAATCGTTAGATCTATCAAGGATCTGGTTGAATCGAACTGTTTTAAAGTGTTTCGATTCTTTTCCTTGTAGATCTACTCAAAACCGGCCGAAATATCACTCGATCCGTGCTCTCTAGCCTCTGTCGAGTGCGATTTGTGTTAATCGTGACTTAACCGCTACAAATCTGTGTAGTTTGGTTAAGTTTGAATCTAGTTTTGGTTAGTTTCTTACAAAATCGTTTTATTTTTTGATAAACGAATTTTGTTTTCAAAACTTTATTTAAATAATAAGTGTAAATCGGGATAAGTTGCCTCTATTTTTGTAAAGTTTTGTTAAAGATCCTTGCGGATCTATAATTGGGGAGTCAAAATCTAAAAGATTTTTTTTTAAATCTTAAAAATTTTGGTAAATATTTTTGGAAGATCTTTATATTTTCAAACTAAATCTCGTTTGAAATCTTCAGAATCTTTAAACCTTGTTTGTTTGTGTTCATTTTTTAGTCGGCATTGTGTAATATTCAATCTGTTTCAGGGATTCTATAATTTGTTAGAAGAGACATTTTTGTGTTTGTTTTTTGTTTTTTGTGAAACTGTTTTCACTAACCCCTATTTTCTACAAAAGAGAATAGGTTTGTTTTCTGTGAATTTCCTACTGTTTTGTAGGAATATAAATTTTTTGTTGTTTTGCTACAAGGGTAACCCCTTAACTCACATTATTTACTGTTTTGTGTTTGTTTTAATTCTATGCATTTAATTTTTTGTGCTCAAAAATAAATTGTAAAGGCTATTTTGAAACCTAGGTTACTAAACTCCGATCCTCACTTTGTGAGTGATTCTCGAATACCTCGGTTGAATATTCATGAATTTATGTTGTAATAGTTAAGTGATATATTTTCTTTGATTGCCTAATTTCTTGTTGTGATTATCTCTTGTGTGTGATAATTTGTTGTTGTTTATTTTCGTGTGATTTGCTTGCCATATATAGTCTGTTTTGGTGAAATTAAAATAAATAATTTTTTGAAATTTAAAAACAGATTTTTTTTTAAAAAAAAAAGGAAAATTTTTAAAATCTGGTTTAAAAACATAAAAAATGGTTGGTAGCTTTAGTTCTGTCTTTTGATGGGAAAATGAATTTTGCAATTTGGAAACAAAAAATGTGAAGCATTTTAGTCACTCAAAGAATAATTAGAGCAATTGAGCCGGATCATGTAGCTCAAGTTCCTCTAGAGATGAGGGCTGAGTTAGATGAAATGACTTACTCTATTATAATATTCAATTTAGCAGATAATGTAATTAGGAAAGTAGGTAAGCAAGAATCTGCTTTGAAATTATGGAATAAATTGGATGAACTATACACGCAAACTTCACTTCCTAGTAGGTTGTATTTTTTAGAAAAAAATTTTAGTTTTAAACTTGATTTGTCAAAATCAATTGATGAAAATCTGGACAGTTTTTCAAAATTAATAATACAAGATATAAAACTTACTGGTGATAAAAATATTGACGATTATAGTGCTATAGTTTTGTTAAATGCAATTCCTAACTCATACATGGATGTGAAATCTGCTATTAAATATGGGTGTGATTTTGTAACATTAGATGTAGTCATTAATGAGTTGAAATCTAAAGAATTAAATTTATAAATTCATAAGTCCAATAAGATAATAAGTCATGCATACTAGATGTAGGTCTCCTTTTAGATCAAATTAAAAAGGTAATTCTGAAGATAATAATAATAGTAATAAAAACCAGAATAGTATAAATAAATATAGATCTAAAAGTAGAGGAAACAATAGATCTAAAACTCCAAATAAAGGGGGTAAAAGATGTTATCATTGTGGTAATCCTAACCATTTTATACGTGAGTGTCCTAAAAAGAAGATTAATAACATTACAAACAGTAATAATAATGGTAGCCAACAGCATGTTAATGAGTTAGCCAATATGATATTACTTGATCGAAATTGTGGTCATGTGTTTACTGTTACTGTCGACTGCTTGAATGTAAACAATGTATGTATGAATGAATGACTTATTGATTCTGGATGCACTTACCATATGACTCCATTAAAATAGATTTTTTGTGAATACAAAACTTTAGTAAATTGCATTGTTTCCATGGCTGATAATAGTGTTTCTAATGTGTTTGGAATTGGTAGTGTAAATTTAAAATTTAACACAGGTTTTGTGCTAAAATTAAACAATGTGAGACATGTTCCTGGTTTATCAAATAATATGCTATCTTGTGTTGCTTTATCAGATTTAGAATTAGAGGAAAAATGGAGAAATGATCGTATGAAAATTACTAAGGGATCTTTAGTTGTGTTTAAAGCTATAAACGTAATAATTTGTACGTTACTTGTGCTGAACCAATTAATATGTCTGTAAACACAATAAATTCTGTTAAAAAGAATAGTGATTTGTAGCATAAGAGATTAAGACACTTAAGTAATAAAGGATTAGAAATTTTACATAAAAATGGATCCTTAGAAAATGTAAAATTTAATCCAGTGTCCTTTTGTGATAATTGTGTGTATGGTAAACACCATAAGGTCCAATTTCCCCATCTCCCTAGTGAAAAACATGAATTATCTAAATATGTATTGGATTATTTACATGCTGATGTGTGGGGCCCAATTTCTAGATATTTTTTATCCATTATTGATGATTTTTCTAGAAAAACATGGGTATTTCTTATGAAGAATAAATTTGATGTGTTTGATATTTTCAAAATTTGGAAAATTAAAATTGAAAATCAAACTGGAAAGAAAATTAAATATCTTAGAACTGATAATGGTTTAGAATTTTACAACTCCTGGTTTGATGTTTTTTGTCAAGAAAATGGTATAAATAGACATAGGACTGTCCCCTATACAACCCAGCAGAATGGGGTGGCTGAGAGGATGAACCGGACTCTCTTGGAGAGAGTTCGAAGCCTTTTGGCTTTATCCGGTTTGTCTAAAATTTTTTTGGGGAAAGCTGTTATGACAGTAGCTTATATAGTCAATAGATCACCCTTCATTCCTTTGAATGGTGCTTGTCCTGAATTTAAGTGGACTGGTAGGAAAATTGATTTTTCAAATATTCGGGTGTTTGGGTGTTCTGCTTTTATACATGTTAATAATGACAAATTAGACCCTAGAGTTGAAAAATGTGTTTTCTTGGGTTATCGGGAGGAGTTACGGGTTATAGATTATGGTTAAGGTCTAGACCTGGTTTTAAAACTGTTATTAGTAGAGATGTTGTTTTCAATGAAAATGAGATGCCTTGTTTAAATATTGAAAAATCTGGTTTGGATAAATCTGAAATTGATGTTGAAAATTTAGACTCTAGTAATACTCCAAATGAGGTGGAGTATAATATTGTTAGTATAGGTGATGTAGAAAATATAGAAAATGATGTTGAAATTCGTGTAGAATCTGCTGTGAGAGAGGAAACTGTTACTGAAAATGATAATAACATTTCTGAAGATCAAAATGAATCTGATTTTAATAATAGTAATCAAAATGAGTTAGAAAATTACCAAATGTCTGGAGATAGGGGTAGAAGAATCTCTAGGTTGCCTACTAGGCTTGGTGATTTTGATTTGTCTTCTTTGGCTTTTAGTGTATTTGAGAATTTAGATGGTAATGAATCTAAGACATTTAGGGGGGCCATAAATTCTGAAAATAAAAATCAGTGGTTAAAAGCAATGAAAAAAGAAATTGATTCATTATATGATAATAAAACTTGGTGTTTGGTTCCTAAACCTCTTAATTGTTATCTTGTTGATTGTAAATGGATTTATAAAGTTAAATAAGAAGATAATGGAATTAGATTTAAAGCTAGATTAGTAGCTAAGGGTTTTACCCAAAAGGAATGAATAGATTATAATGAAATTTTTGCCCCTGTTGTCAAATTTACCACTGTTAGAATTATGTTAGCTCTAGTTGCATTTTATGATTGGGAGCTAAAACAATTGGATGTTAAAACAACTTTTTTGCATGGTGAATTAAATGAGAAGATTTATATGAAACAACCTGAAGGTTTTATTGATAAAAACAAAATGAATCAAGTTTGTTTGTTAAATAAATCTTTGTATGGTTTAAAACAGTCACCTAATGAAATATCAAATTTGATAATTGTATGAAAAATCTTGATTTTATTAAAAGCAAATTTGATTATTGTTTGTATTTTAAGACTGTTAAAAACCAACCTATTTTTCTTCTCATTTATGTTGATGATATGTTGATTATTAGTCCATGTTTAAAGCTTATTGATCACGTGATTAAGTTTTTATGTGATAATTTTGACATGAAACTGTTGGGTGATGCCAAAGTGATTTTAGGCATGTGTATCACTAGGGATAGAAAGAATTCTAGACTGTTTTTTAATCAATCTACTTATATTTCGAAAATTCTTAAGAAGTTTTCTATGAGTGATGCTAAATCTGTTTATGTTCCTATGGCTTTTAGTTTTGTGTTAAGTAGGGATCAATGTCCTAAGTCGGAATCTGATTTTGAATATATGAAACATATGTCATATTCTAATGAATAGGTTCCATAATGTACTTAATGGTTAGTACTATGCCAAATTTAGCTTATGCTATTAGTTGTTTAAGTAGGTATATGTCGAACCCTGGTTTAAAACATTGACATGCATTGAAATGAGTTTTTAGATACTTAGTTGGTACAATAAATGTTGGTCTTGTGTATGGCAAAAATATTGAAAATGTTAAATTAGAGGATTTTGTGGATTCAAATTATGCAAATAATAGAGATAGTAAGAAAAGTACTACTTCCTATGTTTTTACTTTGTGCGGAACTTGTATAAGTTGGAAATTTCAATTGCAACATATTGTAGCACTATCCAAAATAGAACTTGAATATGTTGCAATAACTGAAGCTTTAAAAGAGGCATTTTGGTTAAAAGGATTAATCAGTAAGTTAGGTTATACAACATGTTGTTACTGTTTTCGGATAGTCAGTCGGGAATCCAGTTGTGCAAAAATCCTGTATTTCATGATAGAACAAAACATATTGACGTGCGTTTTCATTTCATACGTGATATTGTATCTAAAGGAATTTTAAAATTAGAAAATATTCCTTCTGAATATAACCCATCTGATATGGGTACTAAGGTTCTAGCTGCAAATAAATTTGTATCTTGTATGAAATACATATATGGGTGTGTTTGTTTGAGGGATTTGTTTGGATTTCCACTATTCATCCTATTTTTTCCCCCCAAAAACATCAAATCAAATACCTATTTTTTATTTTTTATATTATACTAAAAATCAACTTTACATTCAAAACATCACATCAACACCTATTTATATCACATCATACAACTATTCAAATTCAAAATTTTTACTATTCAAATCCCAACTCAAAATCCAAATCCTCAAACAAACACACCCAGAGGGTGTAGTAGGTAGGCTAAGTTAATATTTTTTACTAACATTATGTTTTTTTTTCTTTTGTGCAGGTAAAAAATATGGGCAATGATGTACCCCATCCACTCGGACGAAAAATCAGGTAGAGGATTTGTTGGATTTTATAGTCCAATGGATCCACCCCATTTAATAAGACATAAACACACCCATTATTGCAGCCCATGAAAATCAGGCCCAAACCCGCGACCCTTGGGCTGACCCGTACCCTCGACCCGCGCCTGCGACCCACGACCTGTTGAGGATCCGCGTCTTTCTTAGACGTTGTGCTGACCGTCCGATTTGGGGTTTTAATCTTGATCGTTTGGATCTCTTTTGACCTAGGTATATATATGGAGGATGAGAGAGAAGCCGTCTAATATACACATTATCTTCCTCTCTCTCTAGCTTCTCTCATCCTCTCCCTCAACCCCTTCTCTGGCGACGGTTTTACGACGGTTCACAGCAGTGCTTTCCTCCTGTAATCTTGTGGAGCTCCTTAGCACGTTCGATTTTCTCCTGTTTTGGTTGTTTCGAGTTGCAAATAGCTCGTTCAACCTCGAAGGCGCTTGTTCGCCTTGTTTTCTGCTTTGTGGGGAACTCCTTTTGTTTGTCGTGGGTTGTTATGGTAGATTTTTGTGTGTTCGTCACGTTTTGGGTCTGTGTTTGTGTCGATTTTTTTATAACGAGTTTGGTTTGGGGCTGAACTTTCAAAAACCAAATCTAGTTTAATATTTTTATTCGTTAATAAAATCTTTCTTTCCGTTCATATTTTTAATGACATTTCGGATGAAGCCTAAAGCAACCATGTGATCACAAATATTTGATTCTCCCTAAGCTTTTATTTTTGGATATATAAGCTTCTTAGTAAATGAAAAATAGAAAAGTTACAAATTGATATATATAAGCTTTTTTTTTCGTTTTGTTTTGTTGTCCTTTTTTTTTTTTAATTTTTTTTTTTTATGCATGTCTAATAGATATCCTATATTTGGTAAGTTTATATATTTGTAGGTAAAAACAGAATATAGTTGTGAAATTTCTTTTGTTACAAAAAACAAAAATTATGAATACAGTAAAAACCTAATCTACTTGTGGATTTTTCTCATTATTTGAATTTGTTTTGGAACATGCCTTTGTTCTTTGGTTTACGATCATTTTTGAGGATTTTAATATATCTTTTAGCATTAAAATTCAAAAACGATTATTTGGTTTGTTGAAGGTGTTATAGTACTTGTATGTGTGTATATACAATTATGCTATAAATATTATACTGTGAATGTATATTGTTTCTTAATTAATTAGTTGGGATGTCGTTGAAATTAAGTTGTTACAAAACAAGTAATCTTTGATTGAAGAATTGTGCTTTCTACCTTAGTTTTTTCTGAGTTGGAGCATTGGATTTATTATGTGATGTACCGATATATATATATATATATGTATGCTGTTGCAGTTTGGTGGTATTGATCCAAAAAAGTTGTTACCAAGAAAATTTCTGGAAACATATACTGTATGTTTTAGTCTTCTTCACCTTGGAGCCTCTGCCTAGCTTTGTAAATGAATTTTGAATGCTTCTGCAACCCTGATGGTACGTATATCGATTTAATTAATAAATTTGCTGCTATTCGTCACGACATATATATATATATAGATCATTAATTGTGTAATTAATTAATAGGTGCCTCCTAGCTGAGCTCTATCAACGGTTAATGTGTTTGAGAATTGAGACTGAGCATTATTTATCTCTATCTATATATATCATCATCTTCTTTCTTTGCTTCTAGGAATGACAAGCTACGCAATGAAGGGTGTTTATTATTAATGTCCCTGGGATAATTATTATATATGGATGCTCATCATCCTATACATTCAGCTGGATGGTCATCATCTTATTGGCAACTACGTACTGCATGTTATACGCCAATCTGATTCCCATGCATGCATGTTTTTCCTTAGCTCGCTCTTGATCAGGCCCAATCATTTTTTAATTTGCTTCCTTCAAAGCATGCATTATCAAAAAGGAAGTGTATATATGCAACATCAGAGCAGCTGATGGTGCAATATTTTTGCAGTTAAATTTGCGACTGCTGAGGCAATGAATTAATGACTTGAGTTTCATCATGCTTACTTTTCTTCTGGTCTTAATATTTTGTCATTCATGCCCAAACTTTGTGCATATATTATAACATCTATGTTGTTTACAAAATTAATTTCATGCTACATTTTACATCTACATAAAATGACTGTTATGCTTATTAGTCCTTTGAAATTTTCTTTTAGGTTAATGCAGCTGGAGATCTGTGTGCTATTTGCCAAAAAAAAAAAAAACACTCTCTCTGCTGCTATTATGATATTTTTTTTTTCAGTTTTCGTAAACAAGCTCTTACTTTTCATATAAAATGAGTAATTGATATTTTTAAAATGATTACACTTATGATAACTATTATATAACATAAATACAATTTTATGGGTTCGTTTGTTTTTCCATTTCAAATTCATATTTATTCTATCCAATTTGCATGGTTCTCAGTAAAAATATTTTGTTTGGGGAATTCTCCCCCAAATACATTGTTCATCTTTTTTTTTTTTTTCTTCCCAAAAACATCAAATCAAACACCTATTTTTTATTTTTTATATTATACTAAAAATCAATTTTACATTTAAAACAATACATCAACACTTATTTATATCACATCATACAACTATTCAAATTCAAAATTTTTACTATTCAAATCCTAACTCAAAATTCAAACCCCCAAACAAACACACCCTTAAGTATATTAATTTATTTGTATTTCAAAACAATATTGTGCCGCGGTGTAGCGTGGACCCGAGATCTAGTAGATATATATATATATATATAATTATGTATTTTCATTTGACTTAGAGTGTGTTTGACAATTAGCCGATAGTTGTTAGCTGTTAGCTAATTTGATTAGCTTGTTTGACTAGTTGACTTGATTAACTGGTTTGACTACCTGATTCGATTAACTGATTTGACTAACTAATTTGATTAGTTGCTTATATTAAAGTGTTTGGTAAAATAGCGGTTTGATATTAGCGAGTTTATACGTAAAATGACAATTGAACATATTTTATATTTTATTTTCAAAGTATTTAGTTGAGTTTTTTTCGGTGGGTAGACTTTTCTCGAATTTTATTATTAATTTTAAAAATTAGAAAATTTTTCTTAAGATATTTATTTTTTATTATTTTTAAAATATTTTGTAAAGAATTAATATAAGCTTATTGCAAAATATATATTTCTTTCATTAGAAATAGTATAAATATAAAAGAACAAAAATCATTAATATATGTATTTTTATTAGATTATAATTAATATATTTACCTTAAATTTATAATTTTAAATAAATATATTCATTTTTAATAAAAATATTATATGATAAAAAAAATACTATATAAATGAATTAATAATATTAATATTTTTATATTATCTTTATACTAAGAAATTTTAAAAATTTATAAATAAGATAATTTACATATAAAAAATAATTATTTTAAATTTATAAACATGAATTTATAAGTTATTAGAAGAAAATATATCAAACAACTAATTTTAAGGGCAAATAAAAAATAAAAAAGTAAAAATAAAAAGCTAATATGAAATGCTGGGTATAGAGTTTTTCAAAATTAGTTTTTTTTTTTATCCAATAAGCTAATTGAAACAGCTATTTAGCAAACACCAAAATTAGTTGGTTGATCAAATAGCTAAAAAGCGTTAAAACTTTAGAAAAAATTGTTTACCAAACACCCCCTCGTACATATAGAATTTTGAACTAGCTAAAGAATTACTTTCTTTCGGCAATTCACATTTGTTATTTATTTATTTATTTTTATTTTTTTAATTGCCACAATTTTTTTTTTTAGAAAAAATATGATTACATACATATTTTAAACATATTTTAAATTTTATAATTTATTATTTTTTTATTTTAATAAGAGAGAGAGAGAGGTAACCATCTCATTTTAATTAATTCCACTTTCCAGTGTAGCGTTGCTATATATATATATATATATATGTATCATTATCATCATCCGTAGACTTCTTCTAGACATTAATTCATTGTATATAACATACACCACAATTTGCATCATTCCTATCGATGGCAAAAGCATTTGAGAGGACAATCGGATTATAAGTAAGAGTGTGTAAGCAAAGAATATGAAGAAAAGAAAACACCGGCAAAAATAAATAAACAATAAACAAAAATAGGACCATAAGGGGTGAAATTCATATAATCTTTATGATTATATTGCTTTAAAATTTTTAAAATAATTATAAATTATGTTAGAAATCAACTTAAATTGCGATATTATTCTTAAAGTGGGTAGTCGGGATAGAAAATTTTGAAAAAAGACATACAGAAAAAAATAAAAAATTTAAAAATAATAAAAAAAAATATATATTTAAAACATACGAGAGATAAACTCAAGACATCACTAAAATTTCATTTTTTTTTATTTTTTTATTACATAATTAATTATTAATTATTAATTTTTCAATAAGCATACATTAATAAAATATAATATAACTAGCATTGTTATGTCATATAACAATAATAATATATCTATATACAGTATTATAGAAAAATAGATAAATAAATATATGAATATATATATATATATGTATAACCGTGTGTGTTTGTAAAAATGTGTATGAATTATTAAATTAAAAAGAGAGAAGGATTGAAGATAGAAAGAAAAATAACAAATGCAAAATAGAGAGAGACACAGATATGAAATGGAAGGTATATTAATTATGAAACTAACATCTATATTTATAAATACATACTACGATTAGTCATTAATGCATGCTACAAGATTAGTCATTATGAAAATGACTGTGAAACTAATACAGTGGCATTTATATAATTATTTTGTTTATTATTATTATTATTATATTGAAATTAACTATAAATTGTATTATTCTTTTTTATATTAATATAATATAAATATAACATAAATTAACAACATGCAACATAGTCATATACAATACATTGTATAAGGATAGATAGAACATATTATATATATTGACAACACATTATAAAGAGACAATCAGTATAAGGTATAGATGCAAGCAATGCATATTTTGTTAAATAAGAAAATATGTAGTTTTGCACCTTTGATTAAAAATTGTGATGAAATCAATTATAGATTATTTTGTCTTTAACTATGTCTTATGTATGAAAATTATGATTAGGTTAAAAAACCCAAGTTACAAGGAGAACATGGGCCAATGATTGGGTTGGTTGGATTGATCGAGGGGTAGTGTGAGAAAATTGGGTGAAATAGAGATATTTTTAAGGTCCACAGGTCGGAAAGTCCGTAAGACGGAAGGTCCGCAGGTTGGAAGGTCCACAGGTCGGAAAGTCCGCAAGACGGAAGGTCCGCAGGTCGGAAGGTCCACAGGTCGGAAACTCCGCAAGACGGAAGGTCCGCAGGTCGGAAGGTCGGAAGGTCCGCAGGTCAGGTGGTCCGCAGGTCAGATGGTCCGCAAGTCGGAAGGTTCGTAAGTCAAGTGGTTTGCAGGTCGGAAAGTCTGCGGATCGGTTGGTCTATAAGTCGAGAGGTTTGCGGCTGGACCAAACAAGTCGGATGGTTCGTCAGTTGGGAGGTATGCGGCTGGACCAAAAAAGTCGGATGGTCTGTCAGCCGGGAGGTATGCAGCTGGACCAAACAAGTCGGATGGTCTGTCAGTCGGGAGGTATACAGCTGGACCAAAAAGTCTGATGGTCTGTAAATCGGGAAGTATGCAGCTGGACCAAAAAGTCTGATGGTCTGCAAGTCAGTCGGGCCAAAAAGGGCGGAAGGTCTACGATCGGTCCAGAAAGTCGGATACTGTTGTTAGTGAGCAAGAATGACATTTCGGTCGGTTGAGGGCACATGTCAGCAGGAGAATGGTTAGCAGACGGTTAAAAAGAGGCGTTGTAACCGTCCGGGCGACGGTTTCCAGTACCGTTTCTCAAGGAATATTTAAGGATTTGGATTTTTCTGGAGAAGGCATCTTCAATCAACTTCAACAAAGCAAAATCAGATTCGGGGATCACCACTTTAAATTTTCAGCATTTTAATTTCCAGTTAATTTTCTTATGTACCGTACAGTGTTTAGAGATTCCTAATCTCAGACACTAATTAATCAAATTTAAGAATATTTTTATATCTTTGAATTTTACTTTTTGTTTGTTGAAAAAATACATCAACACTATGATATTTGTTGTTGGTTTTGTATTAATATTGTTACGTACGAAATTTAGAATTAGGTTAAAAGCCCAAGGTAAAAAGAAGAATGGGCCTGGCAATAGAGTTGATTGAACTGGCTGAAGGATACCGTGGGGAAATCAAGGAAAATAGGTTTATTTCTAAGGAAAATACAAGACGGAAAGTCCTCAGGACGGAAAGACTAAAGGGCGAAAGGTCTTCAGGTCGGTAGGCCCTCAGGTCGGGAAGTCCCCAGGACGGAAAGACTAAAGGGCGGAAGGTCTTCAGGTCGGTAGGCCCTCAAGACGGAAAGTCCCCAGGACGGAAAGACCTCAGGTCGGAAGGTTTTTAGGTCGGGAGGTCCTCAAGACGGAAAGTCATCAGGACAGGAAGTCCGCAGGTCGGGAGGCCCTCAGGTCGGGAAGTCCTCAGGACGGAAAGACTAAAGGGCGGAAGGTCTTCAGGTCGGTAGGTCCTCAAGACGGAAAGTCATCAGGACGGGAAGTCCGCAGGTCGGGAGGCCTTCAGGTCGGGAAGTTCTCAGGTCGGAAACTCTGCGGCGGGACCAACAAGTCGGGGGGTTTGTTAGTCGGGATGTCTGTAGCTAATCCTAATCTCAGATGGTTTGGAAGTCGGGAGGATTGGCAGTCGGACCAATGCGGTTGTAGATTGGCAGTCGGGCCAAAAGGGCGGAAGGTCTGTAGCTAATCCAAATAAGTTAGATGGTTTGCAAGTCGGGAGGATTGGCAGTCGGACCAATGCGGTTGTAGATTGGCAGTCGGGCCAAAAGGGCGGAAGGTCTGTGGTCGGCTCAAAGAGTAAAACATAGGGATAATTTTGGTCTGCTGAGGACACGTGTCAGCAGGAGAAGGATTGGAAGACGGTTGGGAAGGAGACGTTGTAACCGTTCGGGCGACGGTTTTCAGTACAGTTTCCCAGAGAATATTTAAGGATTTGGATCA